ACCAAAAAAGTGAAAAATGAAGCCCATTGCCAGACACTCTTAATATCTGAATATCTCAAACACCTCCAAGTCTGTTTGCACGACTGGAAAATGCTGCCATGGGCTAATAAAGAGCATGTACTGTTTAAGACCCTTGACATGAGATTAAACATTGCCCTATGAAGGATTTAAGATTAATTTCACCAATCTTGCCTAACACTGCACGTTGTACTACATAAGCACTCACTCAAAATGAAATAAATTATGCAACTTCTTGACAATCACGTCCAGAGAAAATGGTCAATTACATGCACCTTTTCCTGTCCACTCCCTTGGGGATAACAAATCCTGTTGTTAGAGATCCTTGACTCAAGATTAAAAGCTGGTGTATGAAAGATTTCAGATTAATTTGACCAATTTTGCCATAACACTGCGAGATGTACTACATAAGTACCTAGCTCAGGGAACCATGAACCGAGATAAATTGAGCAACTTCCTGGTAATCACCTTCAGACAACTGGTTAATTACGCAGACAACAACTCAGAGGAAAGGTTCAGTATGAAAAAGAATGCAAAACGGAACAATTCACCAAACAAATTATACTCAGTGAGTTACAGTATGAAAATTCAAAATGTCCCCAAATACAGCCAAAGTGACAATACTATAAAGATGGTATACTGAAATTAAGTGAGACGTTTTTGTTCAGATTGTGTTGTTTACATATTTATCCCGTGTATTCAAATCCAGCATTTGAACATCTTACAAAAGTAGAGTTTAGGATTTATTTCTGTTGGGGATTTTTCCCCTCTATTTTTTGAGGTTATAGTTAGTAAAGCTCTTAATTTTGAAAATAATTATTGTATTAAAACAAAACGCAGACACAATTTAACTTTCACTTGGACAAAGGATAGCTATTAAGCTTACACTTACTTTTTGCTTTCTCTAACATGATTAAGAAACTTCACTATGTGATCACCAGAACAATTTCAGTGAATTACCAGTGAATTTAACTCTCTCCAGACCCATGCTAGGCAGGGAAATATATTTGCACACTTTAAATAAGGGAAACTGGGCAACAAACATTACATAATCTAACCAAAATCTTCCTTTAAAAAATGGTCAAATACCTACAGATCACTCCAGGAGACAAAGAAGGAAAATTTTTATTATCTATGGTCAAAAATACAGATCACTTCTGTAACACACAAAACAAACTGTATTTAAGGTGTAAACCCAAGGAAATCTGAATTCTACTCTCATCTCCACACCAGGTCTTGTTTGATCTTTACGGATATTTTATATTTTAAGTGATCTTTAATGATACCATAGTCCTCAGCATTATCCTAACTATTTACTAAAGTTTGTATCAGTGAAATCAAGAGCAAGAGTGTAGGTTCCTAACCCATTTCACACAGCAAAGTACATACATGCAAAAATCTATCCTTCTTACACAGGGGAGACCCTTAACTGTTTTTAAAGCAGTGAACTTCAGCTCAGAACTAGGACTACCTCTTCAGAGGAGGAAAGATGGAGGAAATGGAAATGCACCTCTTTTCTGCATACACATGATCTGGTTCCTAATGCTACCAATCTTATCATTACCTGACGGAACTAAGTTTGAGTATCCCTGGCTGTAAGAGACAAGTCCCACACTAAGCATGACAACATACAGCAGAAAGGGTTTGAAGCAAGCTAAGCTGCAGAGACGTTTTATTCTTTGTAAGTGCAGCAGGCACAACACTGTGTCTGGCAAAACTGTTCTATCCGGAATTGAGTTATGGTAATCTTAACAAATCTCTCTTGTTCTGAATAATTTCTTATTATTTAGATCTGCTTTACACAGTATACTGCTGTTGAATAAATGGGTGACATGATGTCAAGAGCAAATCTAGATTCCTCTGCCTAGAATTCATCCTGAGAGTAAAAGAAATGCTGGGGATGCTCCAGGCAGTTGCAAGATGAATACAGACATCTTTTTTTCTTTTTAAAGTAGAAAACATTGCTGTTTCTTCTCTTAGAACAGTGGCTTTAATAAAGTTCTTGATGCATCTTTGTTAAAACAGCCTCTCTAGCTATCTGTTCTATCTGCCATTAACCTGCTTACAGCGTGAAGGAAAGCTATCAGGGACTTTAGGACTAAACAGTTAGGACAAGGTTCAAATCCATTTTCTTGATACTGTTCTGGGGGTTACGAAAGAGCATCAGTCTGTGCTGTGCACACTAGGAGTGTGTAACAAAGCATACACAACAATAAAAAACCTGCCGGTAGCCACTGGTACCCTCGCTTGATCAGGTCTGCTATTATTTGTATTACTTTTGTCAACCAGAGCAATGAGGGCTTACTCTTTCTAAACGGATTTGGAAGACAAGCCTGGTTGGCAGCTCTATGAAAGTCTGTTAAGTCTAGACACACTGACAGACACTTCTAGTTTATACCCAGATGGCTGCTTTAAAGATACCACCATGAACATGAGTGGAAGCCTTCACTTCTGTAGCAGTCAATGGCTAGTGCCTCACTTCAAAGGAAAAGGGAAAAAGAGATATCATTTCTTATGAGAAATACACACATGCTACAGTGACGGACATGCAATAAAAATGTGAATTGCAATGCAATTTATCACTTAGAGGTAGGTATCTACTTTCATGTGCTACTGCTGGTGATTATTTGGGGGAATCTGAGCACAGCTCATTAGCATGTGACTTAAACATCATTAAATAAATAAAATTACAAAAATAATTTCTTATCTAAACAAAGGAGATACATAAAAATGTTGAAAGGGGCATTTTGAACTTTTTAACTCTGTTCTTTTTGTCAGAGTAACTTCTAGCAGAATCTCTGATAAAAAAGCTGGATTCTAAAGATGACATTCACTAAATTCTAATGACTTCTGCTTGAAAGGAGATACTTTTTTATGTATTTCCACTTCCTGCTTCTCTCCCAGGTGGACACCGAAATATTCTGAAATGGAGACACGACTGTCTTCTTAAGGCATTGCTGAAAACAACTAGATGAAATGCAGAAATACAGCTCACTTACGTAGGCAGCTGATCTCGTGTATTATTTACACAGCAGATAAAAACAAAAGTGAAAACTACAACTACAATTGCAAATAGGAATATCAAATACCTGAAGAACCACCTGGACAAATACAGATGCACTATTCTCAAAGCTATAAACTTGGCTACCAGAATAGTTAGTAGCAGGAATACAGCTTATCTGAGGAATTCTGTGCTACAAAACACAAAAAAAGACAAAGATCCCATGTCCTCTTATGGGAAATCTCAGGGCTTGGAAGGTATATATATATAAATTAGCTTGTCAATAAAACACACAGTTACAAAAAATAAGAATCAAAGATACACTATCTGCTAGTCATATTTCAAATTCCAAATTTTCAGGGCAATGCCTGCATGCATATTTTCTAAAGCACACTATTTTTCCAACATTAGACCCATGAATCATCTCCAACAACAAACATGTAAAGCACACCTGAACACATCTTCATGAAAACATCCCCACTTCTGATATGACCAAGCACTAATAATGTTCTTCCAAGCAATCTTCCGTTTGCTGGAAACAGGCCCCTGGCTAAAGCACAACAGGCATATACTTTAATAATCTCTTGATTACCTGGATACAGCCTGGAACACCTAATAAATCTGTCTATTTTTCAAGTGGAGTGGGATTGATTTCCCCAGGGTTTCTTTGTCAGTTCCATTTTAGTACTTAATATGAAGAGAAAATTATCAGAGAAGGTCAAATCTGGCATGAAAAAGTAGGAGGAGTACACACTGATGAAGACTTTTGCTACATTTAAGATAAATGTCCACTTGTTTTTTCTTAGGCCCTATCTTCGTTCAGTCATAATTTAACATTGCATATGCTTCACAGCTTGTAACAAGCCTGATCACAGCTTAGCAACATGCTCAAATAGCCAGGAGTTTCAACATTTGAACAGTAATCAAGCAAAAAACAGGTTGGTTTTTTTTTTCTACCGTTTTGCTCTCAGTAAATAGCCAAAGGTATTTACCACAATCATGACTTCTTACAGCAGAAAATTACTTGAAATAGAGGTCTACATAGAAGTTTGAGACATACTGATAATTCTAATCCTCAATTATCGATCCAAGACAGTTTAATGAAGAGATTTTCCATTCTGTATATGGAAATTCATGTCAACCTTCAACAGTATAAACAAATGCTACATTGACTTACAGGTAAGTTTAACTGTTGGTAAGAAGCAGCATAAAAATGTCTTGTTCTAATCCTCTTTGTTCTCTGATTTGAAACCCAAATTTGATAGAAACCTGTAATAGATTTTTCCTCTTATTGTAGTAATGGGGATTTTAAAATACTTTTTTTTAAAGAATACTAAAAAGTATAGATAAAAAACATGAATTTTTAAAAAAGCAAGAAGGCAGCATTAATGATACTACAAATAGTTAAATAACAGCCATAGCCAGGTTATTAAAAATGTAGATAATTACATTTAGCATGGATGAATGTAATTATGCATATTCATTTTGATATTCCCTACAGTGAATATTTACTTCAAAGTTTAAAATGCCATTTAAAGTTTTAATCGGAAATCTTTCAAATCATTTCAATATATTACTGCACAGCTAAAACATATAAACCTTCTTACAGTTTTTAGAAACTGTATTTTTCAGACTTATCTATAAAGCTTGGCAACATTGACAATGTAGGATACTGCGCATACTGCAAAGTCCTATCAATCACCAAGCTTTTATCACAGTGTTTTCAGTTCAACTCTTCATATCAGCACCTACTTTCTCCCAAATTTCAGAGTCAGATCCTGCAAGAATTTTATTCTTGCAAATATTGTACAAGGACAGTTTTGTCAATTTCTTTGGATATTTGTACATGTGAAAATTTCTCACATAATATTTTTTTCATGTTTCATCTCCATCAGGCAATGCTACACAAAACAAAGGAAATCAAGCTCAGAGTTTTTACACTTTACCTCTGAAAGGAAGTAAAAAAGAAAGTGTATTTTACCTGAGTCTCCACACCTTGCTCAAGCAACCTTTTAGCCTGATTTTCCACCTCAAGCCGAGCTCTTGCAATAAAAAGCAGGTCATTTTCAATTACTTCTATTCCAGATAGATCTATCCCTTGAGAAAGGTAATCTATGAAAGTAACAAAACATTGATAAGCATGACATAGGATAAGGGAACATTTTTAACATCCTAAAACATTTATAAGTTACAGTTAGTTCCAAGAGACATTTTTGCATATAACACTTGGCAACAGAGTACATCCAAGTAATGTATTATACCAGAAAAACTGAATATCACAAGATTATTACTGAAGATAACCTGGACATTGAATACACTAAATTTACTTCACTGCAATTCTCTAGACCCAGAGACTGTCAAAGAGCATGTGCACAGCATGAGTTCTAGGAACGCTGGAATCTCACTAACAGGGCAGGAAGGGGCAAGAAGTCATCTCCTTGTCCCAAAGGATCCACCAGATAATGAACTTCTCTAACCAGATGTCTGAATAAGTGCTAAGATATGAAATTTCAGATTTATTATACATTAATAGATGTAAATTATACTTCATATATTTAAATTGCACTTCTAAACATTTGGGATCAAACACAGAAGAATGGGAAGGAAAGAAAACAGGTGGGTTTTTTCATTTTTGCTGAATCAAGCACGTCTTCCACTGCTTCTTTTGAGAAGAAATAAAACTAACAAAATCACAGGCAAGGCATTTCACCCAGTGTCAGAAATCTGACCAGACAATTGTCACCAGACAATGTTACACTATTACCATTTATAACCAACCCACTATGACTTCCTTACAAAGTTATCTTCCTTTTATGTCCTCCCAGTAAGTTTATTAAGACACAGACTTAAATTCCGACTAAGCTAACTGAACTTTAAAATCTTTACCAAACAACCTTTCACTCTAGTAGCCAATTATTTTTGTTTATTCACAATAAACTAACCTAAGCCTCAGATTAATTTTAGCAACCACATGTTCACAACTGAACACAAAATTCCAAGTGAGTCACTTCACGGCTACGCAGAGAACATCCCTGTACCTGAATACAGAAAACACTGTGTAAGAAACTGAAACAGAGAAATACGGCATAAAGCTCAGTAAGAAATCAACTCTCTTAACAGTTCAGCATGCCAAACACGTTTTAGTTTACTAAGATAGGCCTGCAAATGCTTTTGTTTAAAAATGGATCAGAGAGGCCAAAGGACAGCCGAGCCGCAGGACAGCACAGCTCATGCTGCACAGGCTGTTAATGAAGCCCCTTAGGCAGGTGTGCCCACAGAGCGGCTTCTGCTGGGGGTGACAGCAGCCACACTTCCCCACTACTTCCCCACAACTTTTTGCTGTAACTCAGCTCCGTATCTACAGGTGGCCTTGCATATGAACCTATTAAAACTAATATTAAACTCCCACTAGCTTCAATTACTAACTTCAAAGAGCAAGTGTCTTGAATGTGAAGGCTCATTTTCTGACCCCTTCCTCTCAGCTGCACAGGAAAAAAAAAGGGTGCTAAGAACTACCCACAGATTAAGTCTACTGCCATAGTAAACTCTGAAGTAGTTTCTTGGCAACATGAGCTTTAAAAAGGTGCAAATATCACCAAAGACTTACATAGCCCACAAATACAAGATCTGCTGTGGAGTTCACTGATGTCATAAAATCACATTCTGCAACTCCAGGCTGCTTAAACAAAATAAAATTAAAATATGGTTCTGATCTCCTAAATCCACCTAAAAATCTGTGGAAGAGAACTAGAAAAGAGACTGTTTCTCCCTGCTGTATTTTATCTCAAAATCTAAATTAAGCCATTTCAAGTGCTAAAAATCCAATCCTTCTGAAGGTTTTAAGAAAGGAACAGAAAGACCACGCTGCTTTGCCTTCTCCAAATACCTCCATCTGTGCCTCAGACTGGCAGTCACCTCCTGCTAAACTGCCAAAATCTGCAGCTTCATTCCAAATTCCCCGCAATCCTAACAAAATGCTTTGGGACAATGCATTTCAGCAGGACTTCAAAACAGAGGGACTTTCTATGGGTTCAGTGGCCAGACATCCTGCTATGGATGCTCACATTTGCTATTCTAACCACTAGGGAAGCCCTAGCAATCCTATCACACCATTTTCAAAAGAAAAGCAGTTTTCATAAGGACAGCAGGTCTACGGCAGAAACACCTGCAAGTGCTTTCCTGTCATTCCTATGTGAGAGCAGAAGCTGCAACACATGTTGGATATGCGCCTTTTGATGGTTTCTATCGTCTCAGCAGACAACGTATTAGAAATCTCTACACTTGTGTATTCCCAGGAGTGATGCTGCCATCGCAGAGAGCATGATGAAACCAAGCAGAAGGGTAGCTGATGCAAGGGCAGCCAGATCATATCCAGAGCCACAGTGCATTTAAGATCCAGTTTATTTAAAATATTACAGAGGAACTTGCACATTCCAACTGGCCAGTTTGAGTTAGTAAAAAAACCGTGTCACATGAAATACAGCAAAGACACTACCAGTTATTAACCCAGGGACCAGCAAATGTAGGATTTTGCTTCAGGCACTTGTGCAATCCTTATTCTGTTTCTTGCCATGCACAGTCGTTTGACAACTCTATGGCCATGATCAGAGGTGAGGGTGACATGGGCTTTAAGGTACTTGTTTTCTCAGGAATTAAGCAGACACAATGGCTTATCTTCCAGTTAGCACAGACTCTGGGGCCTGGGGCCCAGTTTAAAACTTGTCAGCCGTCCTCCTGCCTTAACCTTAAAGCACTAGAGTATACCTAATACGGTAATAACCGTAACAGATTTAATGAGTATTTAAAACCGTCACCTGCCTGAACAGACTTAAAGAGCACATACATAACATAGAATCATAGAATCACAAAATCATCTAGGTTGGAAGGGATCCTAAAGATCATCTAGTCCAACCATCAACCTAACTCTGATTAAAAAAAAAAATAATAATAAAAAAATCAAAAAAACCACCCACACACCACAAAACCAAAAAAAACACACCACTGAACCATATTCCTGAGGACCATGTCAACCCGGCTTTTGAACACCTCCAGGGATGGTGCCTCAACCACTTCCCTGGGCAGCCTATTCCAATGCTGGATAACCCTTTCCGTGAAGAAATGTTTCCTAAAATCCAATCTAAACCTCCCCTGGCGCAACTTGAGGCCATTTCCTCTTATCCTATTGCCTGTAACTTGGGAGACGAGACCAACCCCCACCTCTCTACACCCCCTCTTCAGGTAGTTATAGAGCGCAATAAGGCCTCCCCTCAGCCTCCTTCAGACTGAACAGGCCCAGCTCCCTCAGCCTCTCCTCATAAGACTTACTCTCCAGACCCCTCACCAGCTTCGTTGCTCTTCTCTGGACCCGCTCCAGCACCTCACTGTCTTTTTTGTGGTAAGGGGCCCAAAACTGGACACAGTACTCGAGGTGAGGCCTCACCAATGCCGAGTACAGGGGACGATCACCTCTCGGGCCCTACTCACCACACTGTTCCTGATGCAGGCCAGGATGCTGTTGGCCTTCTTGGCCACCTGGGCACACTGCTGGCTCATGGGACATTTTATTAACTTCGAGAAGACTTGCGCTTTAAACAAATTAGGACCTAAATACCTTGTAAGACCACAGGCCAGGGCTGGATGCAGTCATAGCAGGCACTACCCTCACACCAGTGGCGTGAAGGCAGTCAGCTCTGCTCCCTGGAGCCAGGGAGGAAATGAGAGGCAGGAACTGTAGTCCTACAGCCATTCCTCTACCTCTCACTCCTCTACTGATTCTACTTCTTCAGATATGTTCATAAAAATAAAAGCAAATGCTTAACACTCCCATAGGGTATTGGTACTGCTTCCTTTCTAACTATCACATTTTATTAAGCTTGGAAAGCACAGCTGGAAATGACTTTTTAAGGACTTAAAATACAGACTGCCTGCTGAATCCACTTTTTGAACAAAAATACTATATGCCAAGGCAGAATACACTGAGCCCTAGGAATCAGTGACATTTATAATCTACCTCAGCCTAACAAAGAGCTAGAACTTTATATTTCTTAAAGAATAAAGAATTTTGTCATTACAATTCCAAATTTTCTTGGTTTACTAAATCTGAATAGGTTTTCTAATCCACTGTTTGAGATGCTGCTTAAAAATGCATTTTTTTTTAAAACAACATTTCCCAGACAGTTATGTAAAAGCATAATAGAGAGAGATAAATCCGATCTGCACGTAGTACATTAGGTAGAAAAACAATACTTCAAGCAACATGGTTAGCTTTTCTTTATCTAAATGACTCAACAATATAGAATCTTTCTAGTATATGATTTCATTTTTTGACCTTAAACATTGCTCTGTGATAACATATAATGAAGATAGTTTAAATAAAGAGCATAATACAGTTTTTGTTCATAGGGATACTACCTTTATAGTTACCTTTTTTCCAAAACATAGTTTAGTATTTACAGAAAGTTTTAATTCAGATTTTTTCCTGAGTTGGTTTTGAGCTTTTGCTAGAAACTAGAGAATCAACAGAAGGCTACCGAGGACAATCAGGTGCACTAACAAAGAGGAACCCAGCACAGCCAGCAATAAACCAAACCAATGCATTTAGACTGCGTCACTTGGGAGGCTACTTGAGCCAAAAGAGAAATCCTTCTGCGCTCAGAGAAGTAACCTCAGTGATGCTAATAAAGAGGAGGAAAGAAGGAAACTAGAAGAGCTAAAGTGGATTCCCTGTGAGCAAACACCTAACATCAGCGCTCCCCTACCCCCCCCAATGCATAAGTAGCAAGAATCCAAAGACAAATTAAGACGTGTTTCATGGGAGGTGGGGAAGGAAATAAAGGAAATTAAAGGCATTCGTGGAATTCTAAATAAAATGCTAGAATCAAAAATCACAGATTTTTGTTTGCCTGTTTGAGGAAAGTCTGGGGCTTACTGCTTTTCCATGGGTCATTTGTTTCATTTTGCTTCTGCAATCTCAGCCACAGAAAATATTGGTGATATCTGTACCCTGAGGCTGTTCTTCTATAGTGAAGAAAAATTACAATTTTGGAAGAAACTACTAATTTAAATTCAAAAAAAGTAAACAGGTCCAAATGATACCCAAGAGTACTGCTGGG